GAGAGGATTGTAGTCTCTGACATATCGCGACGTCTAGACGGGCTCATATCCGATGGCCCTTTCCCCCAGGATAGTGTCAGGAGCGAGCCTGCTGCTGACCATTTCCCCGTGTCTAGTAGTATCGAGGTTACGAAACACATCCCAAGTTCTCAGGCGGCGCCTCTAGTTCGACAGATCTGTTACTCTACTATCAATGTAGTATTTTTTTATATTAATTTAACGAACTTTTAACTTAAGGACAAATCCCGTATACATTAAATTTGTCGGATATAACCACAGAGATCATAACACTGTACTGAAGCACCCTGTTGCATTATTGTATTTAGTTTGTATCAGCCTCTAACAGAAATGAGTACCAGGAATTAATTAAATAATTTTCCTGGGGAGTAAAGCGCGGCAGGCGCATAAGGCTGACAACCTTACCGCCGTCTTTGAGCCGATTATCTAGATAATGTGGGACCCTCAACGTCTCACAACCCTATGGGCCTTCACGGCCTGTAAAATGGATAGCTTTACTTTTTTTTTTTACTTACATATATTTCCATCTCAAATACAACTTATTATTTTGTCCTACTCTTTAAAAATACATGTTTCGGCCGTATACGTCCATCTTCAAGTGAATGTCTACCTTGCCAAAATTGTTCCAATGTATGTTTTTTTATTGCTAGTGGGGTGGGGCTAAGTCCCTTGTACTGCGGCCACTTTCGGCCTATGGTACCAGCCCCAGATGATAGACGAGGGTGATTGTGGAGCAATTGGTGGAATGAAGATTGGCAGGGGAAACCGAAGTACTCGGAGAAAACGTGCCCCAGCGCCAATTTGTCCACCACAAATGCCACTTGACCAGACCCGGGATCGAACCCGGGCCGCCGCGGTGGGAAGCCAGCGACTAACCGCTTGAGCTATGGCGCGGCCTCCACTGTACTGCGTGTGAATGCAATGTTGATTATTAATATTGTGACGAAATAATCCATTGCTAGGCAAAGGTTCAGTAAACACTGCCTAAAAGCCGGAATAGCAGCAGAAGCGGAAGTCATTTTGCTAGGCTACTGTTCGCTAGAATCTATTTCCTCGACAACGAGTATTAACAAAGACATTCATCTAGTGGGAATGTGTAAAACTGCGAAAAATCTAAGACAAGGATATCGACACATCGGCACACCGACTGAGAATCGATCCGAGGTACCTCACAAAAGCAAATCACATTAATTACCGCTGAACTAACCTTAACCTACCTGATGCCAAGCCTGATAAACGTATTTTTAGGAAATTTGTTTTGTGTCCTTATTAAAACTAAAAGTTAACGTTCCACTTGAGGAAGTCGCACTGTACAGCGATTCATTACAGCATATATTGCAGTGTATGTTCTCTTCTGATATCCCGCATCTGGCACTTCTAATTCAACATAGTAATTAAAACTGTCATCGAAATGTAGCTTATCTGATTTATATTTTATCAGCCCTGCATGGTTATGGTTATGGTTAAAATAGGAACCCAGTGGCACTTCTGCAGTGAAAGTGGATAAAAATGGCCATGTAAATATCTCCCCTAAAGAAAATTAACAACCGTTGCTTCCGGGCACAATAAATACTGCAGTTATAACAAGAAGCACGCTAGGCATCTACGTAGCAAACTAAAGTTTAAAGCATCATACCACGAAGGTGTAGTGCCTATAGCGAAAAGTGAAGCTACACTCATTGTTAACCTCGGTGATAGATGAAGTTGAGTCGTTAGCTTCACGCTGGAACTGATTTACCGCCCTGAAAAAACCACTGGAACTCATTAGTGGGTGTGACTCAGACTCGAGCCTGGCGACGAAAAGAAAATACCGCCCTTGCCAATAATGAAACCACGAACGTCTAGCCCAAAGATAGCCGATATACTGATTCAAACACGTTCTATATACATTTGTGGACATTTCTGAAATTAACATTCTCAGCATTGAAAAATGTATTTGGTAAAAATGTTGGCCTTTGATAACAACTATATTTTTAAGTTTGGACTATGTAAGTCCTCGTTATAGGACACCCCGCTATTGAGATGATGTAGGTCTATAAAACCCAACGCTAAGATATGTTCGCACTTTGTTGGCTTGTTTATATCAGTAAACGAAAGGGTGTGTGTGTGTGGAAAACGTGTAAGCTGAATCTGCAACGTCACATGAATTCGAACCCAAGGCCACAGCCACTAGACTACCGAGAGTGCTTGACCAGTGAGATATCAGTATCCTGCCAGACAGTCCTGGATTTCAGTAACAAAAACATGCGTTGTCAGAGTTTTCTTCTTTGTAACTGTTTGTCGTTTCCTGTAGAATCCTTACATTACTAACGACGCTATTTTACAATTCCTGAAACGACCCGGTGGTCTTTTGTAAGCATATTCATCTAGTATTCAAAATATTCTGGGTCCGATCCACCCAGCCATCGCCACTGATCTTAAAATAATACCGTGAACACTTGGGATGATCGGAAGCAGAAGGAATTATAAATTAAATCGTTAAGACTATCCTGAAATTTCCCCTTATAATAAACAAATACTGAGTTCACACATACGAGTAACTATCTACTGCCAGGTGATACGCAGACAGACGAGCAGTCAGAACTATGTAGCGAATGAATAAATATTCAGTGTTAAGGCTTTAACGTTCGCTTCTATTACACACTCTAAACGAAAGTATGTATAAATTACTTAATACAAGCTTCAAAACCATATTTTAATAGAGCACTACATTGAAAAATAAAAACCTATTTGATTTAACGTCGTCTAATATCAATAGAGATTCTCTTTTGTTACTTTCCCCTAATTCCTGTTGTGCCGAGGAGGTTGACTGTCAAATATGAAAGTTCGGAGATGTAATCATAACATTGTTTACGTTTCATTTTCTCGAAAACTGTTAGGCTCGCAGAGAAAGTGTATTGCGCGTAAAATGTGTTCATTTTCTCCATAGCTTTTATTCGAAAAATTCTTCTCTCCGATATTTATCAAGATACAGTTGTTCATGTAAAGTGACCTTCAGACTTGCCTGACCTACCTGATTATTGAAAGGACTTTTCGCAAAATTCTCCAGTATAAAATTTCATGAATATCGTCTAGTGGTTCTCGAGTTATTGTGTTCATACAGACGGAAGGACAGGAGGGCGTACTGAGCGAAAAACACGCACTTCTCAAGGTTGCGGCAGTAGATAAAAAAACGTAAGGGTATCCCTGTAACAGGCCGTGGAGGCCCATAGGGTTGTGAGACGTCGAGGCTCCCACATTTTCTAGACAATCAGCTCACAGATGGCGGTGAGGTTGTCAACCTTGCGCGCTGGCCGCCCTTTACCCCCAGAAATATTCCTGGTATTCATTTCTGTTAGAGGCTGAGTCGACCCCAGGGCCATAGTGCGGCTGGAAGGATTAGGTAAATTGAAAAAAAAAAATGGTCGCGAAAGTGTCTAAAGATAATAATGAAACAGGATGTCTGAAGGGGAAATTTAAACAAATTAAGAAAAACCGTACATATCAAACATGCCTCAGACAATATCCGACATAGAAATGGTATGTTACCATTTTTCAGGTTTCCCATAAAGCAAGGTTTCGCCCAGTTGTGTTACATTTCATGTCCCTACCATCATCCAAATGCTCTAGAGAACTGCTGTACACTGGTTTCTTGAATGTGTCAGTGCATTTTAAGAGAAACACTCCAAGTACCTTCTACAAAGACGTCTGACAGCCTCCAGAAAGAAATTTCGGCCCATTGGGCTTGAGGGGCACAGATTACTGGCGTTATCTCAAACAGCCCGCGTTCGGACTTCGGCGTATTTAACAGGTCAGCAACCTGTACACGCTGTTTCTCTCCAATAACGCCCAATAAATTTTTGAAAAGATAAAAAAAGAATAATGATTTGTAAACTTAATAGCGTAGTCGGTATAGCGACTGGCTACGGGCTGGACGACCGAGGGGTCGGAGTTCGAGTCCCGGTAGGGGCAGGAATATTCACTTCTCCATGTCGTCCAGACAGGTTCTGGGGTTCACCCAACCTCCTACCCAATGGGTACCGGGAGTTCTTTCCCTGGTGGTAAAGTGACAGGGGCGTGAAGCTGACCATTCACCTCCAGCTAGTGCCGAGGTCTAGAAAATGTGGATCTATACATCCACTCCCCCATATGCCTTCACTGAGTAGTGCTTAATTAGTTAAGTACAGGGACAGCTTTACCTTTTTACTGGGAAGCGAGCTCGTCTACTATACTCTTAACTTCCTGCTACTGTATTAAACATTCAAACAATAGCGTTGTTTCTTGTGTCAAAATGCCATGTTGACAGTTACACATTGAAGTGACTGTTTATGTACGATACCTGCGTGAAAAGGAAGGAAAGTATGGAATATAAATTCAGGGATGTTTCAAATAGTAAAAAGGAAAATCATGCAAACAATTTCAGAGAGAGGGGGTCTACAGTGGGCACACGAAGAGAGCGGAACATAAACGCCGCGTAATCACTGAGGAGAAATTGGAAGAAGTCGGTGCTAGACCTGAACATTCTTCCCGAGATCCCCTTAAACGCATTACAGAAAAGATTGGGGTTTAAAGATCGGGTTTGAAGTTCGCTCTGTTACTTCAACGCGTGAATGTGAACATATTACCAGGGAGCAAGGAATGCGTGCTTAAGAGCAACAGGGACCATTTCCGGGACCTGCTGTGATTTGTTAGCCTGTCAGTTACGCCACACGTCCCAACATGCACGGTACGAGATGACGCAAGTAGGCTGTGACCATTTCGCTGGATCCGAGGAAGGATTTTCGGCACGCTCTCAGATGACCCCTCTGCACGTCATTCATAAGACTTAAGATACCAAGGCTCATACGAACAAACTCTAGTTACATACATAGTTGTAGTAATGTGCATATCCACTATCATGTGCTCTGTTCCTTAACTAGAACTCATTAAGGAAGTATATGGTTTATTAACTGAAATACGGTTAATTTTCCGGGTTTAATTTACATGATCTTTACTGTTTGCAGCCAAGAATTCGACCAAGCCGACAGGTAAGGAGGCGAATTTTTGAAGCCTTGGCGTGCTAGGAATGTTGTTTTGTTTCTGCTGATTTACAACTCACCTGCATTTGTATTATATTGTTCAGTGTCATGCTTGCTGCTTTCTTAGATTTTCAAAGAAGTCTTTGCGTGTTCGGTTATTGATCTCGTCCAGTCATCTCTTGGCATTCTAAGTTCAATTAGTATTTGCGTCGTCCCTATCGTTCAACTTTCCAAGTGTTTTAAGCTGCGGCATCTCCACTGCATTAGGTTTCATGTTACCTGAGCTTTAAATGGGAGTATGATGAAGATAGATGCTAGTAATTCGGAGAATATAAGAATGAGATAATATATTAAACTCGTATTGATCGAGGAAGAGCTGTAAACACGGTCAGTATCGTATGAATATCCCATTTCAAGTCAGGGGGAGAATTCTTGTTATTAAACAGAGTTATCTTAAATAGCATAAAAATCCACGCTATAATTGCCTTTAGTATTAATTAAAAGTCAATACAAATTTTCAAAAACTACATGTTATTATACAGATTTATCATATCAACACTGCTATTAATAATTATGGTCCTCTCAAGGTCAAATAATTCTGTTCTACCTTCCGTTTATCGGAGAAATACAATTTTGCCATGCAAACGTTGAAAAGAACACATAAGTCGCCCCTAAAGTTATATTATGGTTTCCCTTCCATTTCGCACTTGTATCCCACTGCTCTTACGCAAGGCTTACATACACATCTCACTGATAGAAGTTATTTACTCTCCAGTTAATCTATCGGCGAAATACGCTTTATTTTTCCACAAGAAATTACAAATTTGATTTATTTTTAGGGGCAATGAGAGGCTAGTCGAAGTCAGACTCTGAACCCTTTCTTTCTCCGTACTAATATTTTGGGGATACTGGCAGTCCATTGTCTGAAAAATATCACAGATATACATACACACACACGCGCACGCGGAGGAAGTTCCACCTCTAATCTTAATGCATTTTTATGAATGGATGTGTATAAATCCAAAAACTAGATTCTCATAAAAATTAAAAAAAAAACCGCAGTGTAGCCGGACGTGATTCACAAACAGTGCATAACCGCAAAGACTTTTTAATCGCCCGTAATGTAGCTTGAATTCTTGTTATAAATTACATTTGACACTAAATTGTTCGGAACTTTGCCATTCAAAACCATAAATTACCGAGAGGTAAGCATGAGTTAAAGTCGAGTACAAAGTGGATAGTGCACGGTAGTATCCCAATTAGCGACGAATGTTGTGTTTTGATTTGCATTGTATAACTGTGTTGCTGTTCATACTCGTATTTTGTCGTTGTATCTTATATTCACGGTGTGTTCAGATGTAGCTGTCTGTGTTTTACTAATTAACTTACCTTTCCAGCATAACTAACGAAAATAAAATTTGCATACTTCTTTGTTAACAAGTTCTCACTTCACTATTAGTATATTTCTTACTTTGTGTAGAAATTTCACAATAATCATTTGCTTTCTTAGATTGTTGTCAATATGTACAATTCGATTATACAACAAGGATACTAAAAGTTTAAACCAACATTTTGATTTAGAAAAATATATATTCATTTACATACATAATTATTACACAGTTATTTTCACCTTATCAGCACTTTTGGAAGAGTTAGTTGCTTAAACATTATGAGAAAAGATTCAATGTGTATTCTTTCTCATTAACATATTTCAAGGCCGCGCCATAGCTCAAGCGGTTAGTCGCTGGCTTCCCGCCCCGGCGGTCCGGGTTCGATCCCGAGTCTGGTCAAGTGGGATTTGTGGTGGACAAAGTGGCGCTGGGGCAGGTTTTCTGCGAGTATTTCGGTTTCCCCTGCCAATCTTCATTCCACCAATTGCTCCATAATCACCCTCACCTATTATCTGGGGCTGGTGCAATAGGCCAGAAGTAGCCGAAGTACAAAGGACTTAGTCCCACCCCACTAGCAATAAAAAAAAACATATTTCAACAAAATGAGTCTATAACCATTAGTTTTTATTAGATTAGGCACAAGTCGACAATCAATATTTTCTATTTAAATATTCTGGTAAATTATTTTATTCCTATTACTCCCTGTTAAAATATCTCAAGATAACTCTATATCAATTAGTTCCAATTAAAGTAGGCTGAGAGAATGATTGAACATGTACGATTTTATAATGAAATATTCATCAAAGTGGTATACTACATAATCATACATTAATTAAATATTTCGATACTATGATTCGAAATTTATTAATTCCGATTTATATAGTTCTATAACGTAATACAGGTCGACGCGCACAGTTTCGATTGAAATAATTTAATAGAAGAAGAAGGTGCCTATTAATTTCGGCTGGCAATAAATATTTCGATAAAGTGATTCAGTAACCACTGGTTTCCATACAAACATTTCAATGTCCATTATCCTCCACAGATATATTTTCGTGCCCAATGCGAAATGCAACAGACTAAACATTTACATACACCACAAGCAAAATTACATTTTATAGTTTTCAGCTGCCATATGGCTGAACCAAGAAACGACGATGCAGAAAGGTAGGTATGCACCATGCAGTGATACTCCACAATCGCAGAGAAATCATTGGTTAACTACTCCATGCTAAGTCTGCGGTGGTTTCTCGAAGTTCACGCTTTTAACGTGAAATAGATTGTTGACTGTAATTCAGTGCGAACAGAAGGAACAGACTAGCAATGAGTGAAAACTATGTGATAGGCGCCTTTAGAGCCATGTTCCAAATGTTTTGGCGAGAAGTATGGGCAAATACAAAAAAAAATCCGTAGCCTGTAGTCCGCAAGCGAACTATACCGACCGAGCGACAGCCGATTGTCGGCGAAGTTAGGGCCGCCTCTGTAGTCTAGTGGTCAGAGTTCCTGGATAAAGATCCAGAAGTCCCGGGTTCGATTCCTAGCGCTACCACATTTTCTGAGAAGTAATGGTTCTGGAACGGGGTCCACTCAGCCTCGTGAGGATAATTGAGGAGCTATTTCAAGGAAATAGCGCCTCCGGTTTAGAAAACCGAAATTAACAGCTTTGGTGATTCGTTGCGCTGACCACGCGACACTTCGATCCGCTAAAGTTGGCACTAATATGGAAGAATATAATGAGAAAATCTTACGCTCAAGCCTAACTTCCTCACCCTATGACAAGCCTGGACAGAGAGACGACGCCCGTAATTTAAAGAAAGAATATGAGATAATGTGTTGTTGCCTGGTCGGGACTATCGCACAAATCAGGGTCGAAGGTAGAAGTAAATCTAAGTGGAATGACGATTAATAGAAGAAACCCTACGAGTCTGGTAGAAAAACCTGCTCAAATACCACCCATGAAACTCACATGAAATCACTTGAGCCTGACCCGAGGTTCCGCGGTGAGAATAATAATAAGAAGAAATATTCTCCAATACAACAGTGTTATTAAAACTGAAAATAGTCGGACACAGGGTCAGCAAAGTATTGGGAGATCCTGGGATTTCTCAGGTCGAACAAGAAAGTTGACGCATTGAAAGAAGCAGAACAATACAAATGTTCACTCTTTTACGAGTTGTTGAAGCATGAATTATCTTTCCCGGTTTGTTTCGTTTAGATGGCAGAATCCGGCACATAGCTCTGAGTATGCTTATTCCCACCGTAGACCCATGCAGTAAATTAGCACTGCACTATTAGGGTCTAAACACCGACTATAATGAATAAAATATACAATGCAAAATCGCATGGTTAGAAGAAATTGAAAACGTGTTAACGTCGTTAATCTCTGATCTCACATCCTCCAAGCAATTTACAAATCAACCAAACTTAAAGTTATTATATGCCATAGAAATTGCATTCTGATTAATACTGTCAAGTGACTGAGTGATTGTAGACGGGGTTTGGATTGGTAATTGGATGTACTTGACTCTTAGAGAACGTAACTACAAATAACTACGACAACCTCACAGAATTACACACTCCAAAGATCACTGTAACCACGGAACACACACATTCTTCTCAGTTTGCTATGTCTTTACGAGTCGGTGCTTGGTGACGGATCCCAACAATGCCCTCTGCTTCCGTGGGCACGTTCTTACCGGCTGACGGCTGTCTCACAACTAACTCATTGCTCCAACTGTCGATTCAAAGTCAAAGTCAAGGTCAAAGTTATGTTACGACCGACGGTCATTCGGCCATTCTCTCTCGGTGTCAAGTACCCATCTGGGGCCCTAGACCCGATTTTTATTATTGTCGAACAGTTGCGGGTTTTCTTTTATGTGGGGCGCCTTCTCTTACCAGAGGACGGGCTTCTCGTTTAAAATTGTTGCTGGTCCTCACCAGCGCAGTCATACTCGGGTCCGAGTCTAGCAGGACTCATTATCATATTTTTCTGTCTCAGATTCGAGGCTCCCTCAACCTGGATGGTCAGGTCCCCGTATTTATATCCCCCAGGAACAGGGTGGTCCAGTTATACCCTCTGGTACTGGTTCCTTTTCGTCGCCTCCTACGACTCGCATGGATATGGTGGAGGTATCTGAACCCTCCTCCACGCGAGGATCTGTCAACTTTCAACTAACCGTCCAGCTTATGTCATCTCGGCACGGACCGCTCAGAAAATACCGCTCCTCTGTTGTTTCCACTTGTTTGCGCAGCCCTTACTCAGTAACGGCTGTTTATTTTCTTATCTTGGGTCGTTGTCTAGCAACGGGTGTAAATGTCACAATGTATTTATATTACACTGTTCTAGAATAGTCTTATGCAATACTCGTAGCATTGGAACCAGGTAGTTATATTGGGCCAATTCGCCAGCAGGCGTAAATAGAATCGTTTTCTCTCTTTTGTAATAACATCTTCGTAAAAAATAAATTATCCACCTTCTACATACACACATACACACATATAAGTTTTTCTCCTTTAGCGAAGATTTGTCATGGTAAATGAACTATGAAGAGACTGTTAAGGAATACAAAGAGGCATGTGATAAAGTGTTACAAGATACTTTATTCTCGTATTAACATG